TTTGATTCACAACACAAATTGAACCATTGGAGAACTTTCGGGCTTTAACTATAATTATATTTTAATGGTCTTTTTGCAGCAAATTATTTGATCAGGTGTCTTGGTCATAGAAATTTCTTTTTGTAGTGTCATCTAGTGGCAAAATCAAATGGTTATCACGTGTCATGTTCTTGCTGGCGTAATATTTTTTTAGAGTGATCATAGAAATACATCTTGTATAACATTGACTATTTTTTAGTTTAGATTAAACCTAAATTCATTATTGACATTATTGAGAAAAATAATGAATTACTGTTTTAAGCTTTAGATGGTAGATTTTAGTTGGATATTTTTAGATTTCACAATTTTTCTAAAAATATCATATGTTTTTGAAGTTCAAGCCTGAAATGGTTTGTCATTTTGATGGTAAAGATCATCTCAGGCTGTGATTTGCTGTTTTCATGGCTATCATCGAGCCTCAAGGTATTTGCTTTTCCATCATCTACATTTACAATTTGAAAAATTATTTTTAAAATATAAGCCTTTCTGGTTTTGATATATGAGTAATATGCACGTCATATAGTAATTTGTGTTATCTAATTTGATTACTTCGAACTTTGTTGACTATGCTTTTTGTTTGCGGAGGATTGGGTTTAAGTTTGCATATGGCTTGAGTTCATTTAAATGTTTATAGCATTGCAAACTTTGTAAACTCTACCCTCATATGTAGAGGATTGGGCTTATTTAAGGGTTGAAGTCATGGCCTGCCGTAGAAACTCTTTCTGAAGAGTTCACATTTTTCTTTAAAAAAAGAAGAAATATCTTTATAAAACATCTTGAAGGCCATATTCAAATGGAAGACAAAATAATTTTGTAAGGTTTGTGATCATATTAGTCGTTAACTTGCTTGATTGGGTAAGAAATAAAGCTTAAAACATCATCTTTTAATTGACATCACAATCATTAATGGACAGAAGTATTGTCAACTCCATTCTTTGGGACATGGATGATTAGGTTTTGAAAAGATCAGACTTACAAATCTGCCCAATGGGTTGGATTGCCCACTTATAACCAACGTACAATGTATTGATAAGTCCACATTTTGAAACAAAGCTTGTGAAGTTCAAACTAGCTGTATGCTTCTCAAGTTTGGATAAATTTAATTTCTTATTTTGGGATTGCGTAGTATTGCTTTATGTCAAGTTCAAATGTTTACTACATCTGTCGAAGTACATGCGGACAATTGTAATTTATTTTAGTTAGTAAAGTTTTTGGATTTGAGAGTTTTAAATTGGTAGGCTATCAGAGCCCATGCACAGTTATAGGGATAGATGGCTGTTGTTGGGGCTTGGGAGAGGGTAGACGACAAGTGGGAATGCAGCAAAGGTAGGGAGGGTGCTGGTTATGTGTTTTGAGGGACCGGACAACAATGATTGCTGCTGGGGAAGTGATGGCAAGGTGTGGGTATGTGGTCGGGAGGGCTGGATAACAAGAGTGGTTGTAGGGAAGTGGATGGTGTGCTGGGTGGTGGCCGAGAGAGCTGGACAACAAAGTTGAGACCGAAAGGGGAGAGCAGGTGGGGTGTGTGGGGGGGGG